AGCACCCCGGCCAGGGCAGGCTGGGCCTGGGCCCCAAGCGAGGCAGGAGCTGCCTTCCAGCCCGTGTGCCCTGGGGCGAGGGTGTCCGGGCCCACTGTGAGAAGGGACTTTGAAGCATGTTCCTATTATTTACGGAGGAAAGCAGTATCCATCCAGAGACTCATTATCCAATTCCTTGAAAAAGACTTAGTAGGAGCAGGAGAAACAGCATCACAAATCCTCCTTCCCCTGTTTGTGGGTCTCGGATTCCAGACAAGGAAGTGACAGCAGAGGTGGCCAGGCTGCCCCCACCCACAGGAGCCAGTTCATCCGGGAAGATCACCCCTGTCTTCTTCCTTGATGGAGTCTCTCGGGCAAAGGCATATATGCGCACGCGCACACACACCACACACACGCTCACTCCCACATACTTGTTCTGTCATTTAAGTCAACCACGACGCTTTCCAAACCACACATTGCTCTTGTGAATTTTTGCAGCACGTACACTCTGCTTCTTTAAAACAACAACCTATAGCTTTTTTTTTTAAAATTCCAGGATCAATCAGCATCAATCCTGGTATCACCGATGTCTAACAAACAGCCTAAGTAATCTCACTTTTTACATTTCGTGATCATAAGACCTACGGATGCCACGTTTCCAGTGATCCGAGGTGGCGCTCTCTGATGGCGTTAATAGCAGTGGGAGCGGCTGAACAGACAGTAGTCGCAGGTATACCTGGCAAAGGTGAATTAGTTAACATCTCAGGGAAAAGCATGTAGAGAGCGCCTCCTAAGGTCCGCACGGTGTCAGGTGCTGGACGTGCAGAAGGGCTGAAGACGACGTCCTCGGAGCAGACACATGCGTGCTGGGGAGGAAAGACAGCTGTCCTCGGGAAGGCGGCTGGTGCAGCGGGAAGCCTCGCGGACACGCGCACGGACGGCGAGACGCCCCTAGGTAGACGGAGACTGGACGGCAGAGAAGCTAAGGAGCGGCCCCTGTCTAGAATCAGGCGGGCTGGTTTGAGCTCTTCCCTTCCTGCGGCGCTGGGTCCTGTCGGAAGGCCTGGCGGACCCTGTGGCAGGCTTCCCTGAGGTGCGGCCTTGCTTGGGAACTACTTTTAAAGGTCTGGCCCTGGGGCTGGCCTGTCCAGACGGGTGTGCCAGGTGCCGGTCAAGCCACAGAGCCAGGGCAGCAGCCAGAGGGCCCCACGCGAGTTTTCCCTTTGGCGGGAAAGTTCTCCTTTTTGTTCTTGTAACCTTCCCTGTCTATGTCCCCGGTCTCTGTAGAGGTCCCAAGGTGGCTTTGAGCGCATTCTGTTGCTCGACAACATCTGCTCTACATCGTAGAGCATATCTTCCATCTCCCAGCCTGGCCCTCGTCTCTGGGAAACGATGACTCCGCGTCACGCTCCCCAGGGCGTTCTCTGACAACCGGCGCGACCCTCGCTCTGGCTGTGCGTGTGGTGTTCAGCCTGCCGCCCTGCCAGCACCAGCGGCTTGATGCGCTCTCCTGTGTGAAGATGGGGTTTATCCTTGTTCCCACTGAAGAGTTCTCCCCGTGCGGGGCCAAGCAGGACCTTGACTAGGCCTCCTGCCGTCTGCCTCGGTGGAATCAGCGGATCCCTGGGCTGTGCCTTACAGCTCACCAAGCACGAGAGCTGCCCGGCAAGGCCAATGTCAAGTGCGTCCCAGCGAGGACTTGGTGCGTGACTGATGGACTCACCAGGAGGCTGAGCTGTGCCTACGCTGGCCTGGGGGGGGGGAGGCCCCTAGGGTCAGCTCCAGGGGGGCTTTCCTCTGAGCAGGACGGCTTGCTAAACATGCAGATCCCCGGGCCCCACTCACAGGGCTTCTGGTGTCTGTGAGCTAGGGTGGAGTCCAGAGATCTGCATCCGTAATGACATCTCAGATCACTCTTATGTGTGGGCTGGGGTGGGATTGCCCCAAGCTTCCAGAATCACTGCCTTGCTCTAGGTTAACAACTGGCCTAGGAGCTGATTCTGACTCTCTGGCATGTTTTTTGCTCCCCTATCTACGCCAAAGAATATAATAGAATTTGAATTAGTTGGCAACCTTTAAAAATCAGGATTCTCTTTTTTTTCCCCCCTGGACACAGAAGGTGGATGGAAGGAGTAGAAACTGACTCAACAGAGCAAAAGAAGCTGCTGCCTAACGTGCCTGCAGACGGCCGTGCTTGGGAGAAAGAAGGGCCAGAGCGCCCTGCAGGACCCCGAGACGCTCAGGACCCAGAGGCCCCAGGCTGTGAGGGTCAAGGGTGGGTTAGTGGGATTGGCGGGAAGTGGATACCAGAGCAGTTTGGCCCCTGCAGGGTGAGGAAATTCGCCGTCTAAAGGTATTGAAATGGACAACACTGGCATTCCGAAGACCAGAAGAGGTGTGGGAAGTTTGCACGCGGGTTAAATGGAAGTTTGCATCAGGAGCTTGGGACCCCCCAACTCTGCTCCAGAATGGTGCAGGCAGCTGTGTCCCCAGGCAGGACAGCCAAGGCTTCTGCCCTAGGGAAATGGGAAGGGCTTTAGAGAGAAGGAGCCCACCGGTCAACAGACACAAGCCACGGGCACGGGGTTCCATGCAAACTGCAGCTTTCGGGGACCTCCCTCCTGGGTATGAACACACAGCCAGGGGCGTTCAGAACTTTGCAGAAGAAATTCTCTGCTGTAAAACTGGCAAGAATAAAACAAATAAATAGAAGAAAGGAACCCTGAGGAGACTCGATTGCAGAAATCAGAAAACAATTTCAATAACAGTTGACTTATTATTCTCAGAGAGATAAGAGAACATACTGCATCCAGAAACCAAAAGCAACATGCTGATGGAAAAGAAACCATCAGGGAAACAGAATGAGCTCTTGGAAATTGAAAGTGTAATTGCCATCAACGAAATCAGTGGAATTGGAAAATAAAGGTCCAGGAAATATCTCAGAAAGTAGAAAAATAATAAAAAGGAGAAATGAAAAATATAAAAGCATGGGAGTAGGAAAGGAAGAATGCAGGAGTCTAATATCTGCCTAATAGGAACTGCAAAAAGAAAGAAGAGAGGAAACAGAGAGAGGAAGTTGTCCCAGATGTAGTTCAGTAAGGGCACAAACCACTCCAAGGAAAGGCCAGCTGGAACAAAGAACGATGATGGCAGATTCAATGTTATAAAGCCCAGTGTTTACCAACTGCTCACTATCTGCCATCCACTGCTCTAAGGGCTTTGATGTGATATCTCACTAATCTGCACACTCGCTTTATGCAAAGAGCACTCATCCTCATTTATTGAGGCAGAGAGAGGTTGTGTTATATGTCCACGATCACACAGCCATTAGTGACATGGCTAGGTTTCAGACCCAGTAGTCTGACTGACATCTCTCTCTGTCACTGTAAACTGTCAGAATAGCATATATAAAGAGACGATCCTAAGGTTTGTAGAGAGAAAAACGAGACATACACAAAGGAACGTGCTTCAGATTTATCTATGGCAACCCTAGAAATGGGAAGGCCATGGAGAGAGGCCTTTAAAACTCTACAGGAAAGCAGCTTTCAATGTGGAAATATACCAGCTCAATTCCCAATCCAGTGTGGGGGTAGAATAAAGACATTGCATGCATGCGAGACCTCAAAACATTTACCTTCCTAATAGCCCTTTTAGGAAGTTACTGGAGATATGTTCCCAAAAAATGATGTCTGAGAGAAACATGGAAGTCAGAAAACAGGGATTTGGCTGGGGAGAGTGGTGCAGGGGGACCCCAGGTGACAAGGTGACAGCCCGTGGCAGCAGAGCTGGGGAGCCTGTGTCGGGCAGGTTGGTGCCATGAGGCTTGAAATAAACCCACCTCTGTGAATGCAAGGGGTAAGCAGGTAATGTTCAGAATAACTAAGCAAAATGCAGCATAAGAGGAATTTCTAGTAACATTGAAGAAAATACCAGAAGGAATAAAAAGAGGAGTTGAAAATGGTGTTAATAGTTTCCAAGAATGGGAATGGTGTTTGGAGAGGGATGGGGCAAGGACTACTGTTATCATAAGCCTTTGATTTTTTTTAAACTAGATGCATGTGTTAAGTTGATTAAGAAAAATACAGTGGCTTTCACCTAAAATAACAAATTTCTGGCATTTTTGGGAACACTAGGAAGTCGGCAGGTCAGGGCTGCCATCTTGCGCGGTAGCAGTGAAGGGAGCTCCATGGCTGCTGACCCTTCCGGGTGGGACCTGCCCGCCAAGTTTGCCACTGTCCCAAGCAGGCCGACTTCCGTCGTTTCCTTTACTTTTGCTCCTCAGCCATTTGAGCGTGTGACCTACAATCAAGTGACTCGCTTCTGCACCCTCCCTTGTTAATGGCCTAAGAGAGGGTGCGTAGAAAATCCGTTAGCCGTAGGGACAGGCTCTCGGGTGCCAAAGCTGATGTTGGCATCAGTAGTTCTCTTTTTACTGGGGTTCCATTCAGTACCCCACAGCAGCTTCTTGCTAAGTCACACGGTCTTTAGAAAGCCCCAAGTAGTGGATTATGTAAATAGGATTAACACTGATTTAGTGAAATCCCACTTTGAGAGGCTCAACTTGCGGGCAAATGCATGTAAGCCCCATACTCTTAACGGGGGTTGTCTCTGCTGAGCAGGTGGCATATGGCCCCTCCGTTCTGTTTCCAGGAGCTTCCCCCATAGCCAACTCACCGGGGCGGAGAGGACAAAGTCATCCCGGCAGAGTGCTGTCAGCAGGAATTATGAAAAGTGCATTTCATGGCCCCAGGAGTTGACACTCTGATTTTACTAAAGTGCCACACGGATCTTTGATCTCTTGGTGTGTTGTTGAAAGGATGATTGTCATGCTCATAAGAGGAGCAGGAGCTCATGGAGCCTCAGATCAAGGTGGTCCTGGCACTCGGAAAGAGCAGTGGGGATTCCTGCTTATTGCCAGAGTGAGAAAGAGTGTGTGCGTGCGCATGAAAGCGCGGCTTTGGGGAAGCCAGTAGGGTGTCTGGAGTCTCTGTCTTGAGAAGTTAGCAAGTTAGGGGCCGGTATGTTAATTTCTCCTCCTCTCAGATCTTTTGTCAAGAACACCAGGAAAATTTCAGACAAGAGGCAACTCTGGGCTTTTCAAAACTCTGGGCTTTTCTTTGTTACCTTGCCGCCAACCATCTCTCTCGTGTATGTACTTCTCATCTCAGTAGGAGTACAGTGCGGGAACTGCTGTGGAAAGAAAGGGAAGGGCTGGTGATCAGAATCCACAGCCCCGGACATGTCAACACTGACACAGTGACAGGCAAAGTCCTGTGAGTGCACGTCCCTCCTGGTGCCCAGGGGGATGCAGCCATCAGTATCACGCACTTGTGCACATGCCCCGGCACAGCTGGAGCTCACGAAATACTGACAGCTGGTAAACAGAGCACAGCCAAAGACTTTGCTCCATTCAGTATATTTCAAATGAACTTTTCTGCAATTATAAATTGTGTCACTGCATTGATGTTTAAGTTAATGACTGATCATATCAACTTGGGAAATTTTCTAGCCCCTAAGCAAGAGGGTTTCCCACTTTTGAGCTATGACCCTCCAGAGTTGTAGGTTCTTCTTCTTCTTTTTTAAGAGACAGAGTCTCCCTCTGTTGCCCAGGCTGGAGTGCAGGGGTGCAACCATAGCTCACTGCAGCCTCAAACTCCCAGGCTCAAGCGATCCTCCTGCCTCAGCCTCTTCATTAGCTGGGACTGCAGGCACACACCACCATGCCTGGCTAATTTTCAACTTTTTTGTAAAGTCCAAGGACTTGCTATGTTGCCCAGGCTGGTCTCAGACTCCTGGCCTTAAATGATCCTCCCACCTCAGCCTTGCAAAGTGCTGGGATTACAGGTGTGAGCCAACGGTGCCCAGCCATGGTCCTTTCCAAAGTTCCCTTTCTCCAGTGATGAGCTGTGGTGCTGCTGACTGTGGCCCCTCCTCAGACCTCCTCCAACACCCGAGTCTTCTAGAAGAGGCCAGACTGGGAGGCGAGACAGTAAAGTCACTTTGATTTACTAAAATTAGTTCAGTTCTCTGTTCCGAAGCACTGACGGGGAATTTATGGGTGGAAGAAATAAACACACGAGTGTGACATCAATCTAATCTGTCAAGTCCTGTGTAATGAAGTATGGGGCAGGGAAGATGATAGTGATGCCTAAAACCTGGGAAGGGCTGGTGCCACAGAGCTCCCTTTCTTGTTGGGTTTGTTTTCTCTATAAATTGATCCTAAGTGTGGAATATCTCTAAGACACCGATCACATCAAAGGCTGCAGGGTGGGCGGAGAGCATCCTTCGCTGGAAACCGCCGCCCTGCCATTCAGTATTTAATATTTCCCTGTGTTGTCCTGGGCGACCTGCATCAGCGTCACATGGTCACATGCGGGACTCGCTCAATGTTTGGGTTCTGGTAGCCCTGCCTGCTTCCAGGAGGGTGGCTTTCTGGAGGAGCAGCCTGGGAATTTGTAGTTAAACTCCCCAGATAATTCTCAGTCACTTTAACGTTGGGAATCGGTGGCTATTCCCTGTGGTGCCCCATCCTGTGATTCTGTGTGTTGCGAGAACGATACAGGGGGTAACAGCCAGTCCGAGGCGTTTGGGAGCCACAAAGTCAACGTGTCACTGGTTGCTAAATTATTTGGACCCTCAGCACATTTAAATGGCTAAACACATGCATTTGCTTCTAGCGAGTGTCTCATGTTCTGGCTTCACTTAGAGTGACACCAAACGAATTATTTAATCTCCTTCAGCCCCGTTTTGGTTTTCTCATTAAAGAGAGCACTGAATTTTAATCCTCGCCGTCACTGAGTGTGAAGGCCAAGGACAAGAGGGTCACTTTTGAAGATGAACATTTTGCTGAAGTGTAGATCATTTAAACACCATAAAACACAAGCGCACGGCAACCTTTTCAGAAGAGAAACTCAAGTATTAAACACAAATGGGGACGTGAGTGGGAAAATAGATAAAATCTGAAGCTAACTTAAATAATAATTTAAAAAAAATGTCAGAATGACAGGAGCAACTTAAAATTGTACAAAATATGTTCCCTGCATGTCTCCCTTCCACCAACCTCTAGTTCTTCTCAGAACCACTGAGATTTTGCAGGAGAAAAATTTTGGAGGCAGAAAACAGGCAGATGGAAGGAGAGAAAGCGAGAGAGCTTTAGTTGGGGGAAGAGGAGGCAGGTGCATGTGGGGCGTAGTTCTTATCCCTACTGAAAAGTGAGTGGGGGTCATGTCGCCACAAGGGCCAAAGACCCATCACTCTCGTGCCACTGTCCCATGTCTCCCAAGCGCTGATAACATGAATCCTCCCAAGGTATCTTCACTTTTTTGCCTGTTTTGTCAACACGGGCTGCTCTGCTTTAGAGCACAGTTGTGTGAGTGGAAGTCCTTTGCTCAGGGTGAGAGAGGACCTTGTTTCGTGGAATGCAAGCTCTTAACCCGGCTTTTTCACATTTGATTACCCACCAGGTAACCTGTGGGGGCTTTGGGTTCATAAGTAGACTCCAGTGCTTTTGCCCGATAGGTTCTTACCTTTCAGTTTTATTTGTGTGTTCTTTGCCCCCAACAATATCAAATACCTGAAAATTGGCTGTGAATGTGATAAATGCCCCCATCACATTATGGGTGTCCCACAATGATGGGGGCATCACCAAATGCTGGGAGCAGAGGAGATATAGTAGACATGGCTACTTAGGCATAGGACACTTTACCCTAGTACACTACAGTAAAATAAGTGTGATTTGTGCATTGGCTTTTTTTTTTTTTTTAATCAGATTGTCTAGCAAGAGTTGCAGAAAAATGTTCACAATTAGTAGTTCCAACAAGCTTAAGACACAATTATTTTTAATAACACATCTATACAACCAAAACTCTTTTATTTAACAAATGCATACAAGTCATAATTGCTGTTGCTGAAATTTGTCATAACGATTTTGTAAAGTACATTATTAACCTTTGTGACAGTCTCGAGGTGATTATTCTAACCATTTTTTACAGATGAAGAAATGAATAGTCGAGAGGGCATATGACTTGCTCCAAGTCACGCAGCTAATTAGTTGTAGAATCTAGCTTGTTATACCAACCTTGAGACTTTTTCTGTCACGTCCATCACATTTCTAGAAAGAAAATCATTAAAAGCAATAGAAAGGAAGTTCTTTATTTTTATCAAGTTATTATGGCTGTAAACAATTGACTTGGGAAATTTTAAAATGTACTTTTTTTTTAACCATATATCATTGATTTTTATCTTGTTATCTACTGCCTAATATTGAGAAAACCCAGTGAAAATCCAGGTCAGAAGAAATATCTCTATCTTTTTTTTTTTATTAATTCACTGAGGTCTCTACCTAATTGAGAGAAAACACATAATGAAGTGTGCCTGATGTTTTTTTTCCCCCATAATGAGTTATCATGATTTCTTAAAATAGAAGATGAATGTCTCCTAAATTGAATGTGTAGATAACGGTGTGTGTAATAGGGTACCGTGAGGGACTCAGGACAAGAATAAACAGTTTGATTTCCCGAGAAGAAAAGCACTATTGTCTATGTCTAATTCTGTTCATTTCTCATACTGTAATCTTACTCAGCTGGTAATAGAGGCGTTGCCAAGCTGATGGTCTTGAATCCTAAATTGGGACTTGATAGGGTGGTCACTTTGTCGGTGCTAGGCAGAGAGTCCTGGTGAGAGGAGTCCGGTGGGGAGGACACCAGAGGCTCAACACACAGGCTCCTGGTCTGAGCGCGGCCACCCCCCAGGTGTGTGGCTCAGTCTCCGCTCTGCAAGTGCAACTCTGCTCAAAGGAGGCTCGTCGCTCTTCCGCCCGACCCACTTCTGCACTTCAGTTTTGTGCTTCTGCCTGTAGCACTGCAACCTGCCTTCTTCATCCCCTTGTCCTGAGGCACCACACGGTGCCTGGCATGAAGGTGGCACTCAGGCACTGTCCACTGTCTGCTAATAAGTGATCACACCCCTGCCACCTCCTTTCCTTTGTCCTTCAAGCCCCACCTGTACCTCACTGGCTGGCGGGTCTGCGGGTTCCCCCTTTAATTTGCACCCCACGCCTTTCTGCTCCTCCCTTCTCTCTGGGTTCGGGCTTACGTGGAATTCACAGACACGGACAGTAGAACGGTGGCTGCCGAGGGACAGGGGAGCAGGGAAGGGGAAATTGTTGTTTGATGGGTATAGAGTTTCAGTTCTGCAAGATGAGAGAGTTCTGGAGATTGATTGCATAACAATGTGAATGTACTTAACACTACTGTACTGTGCTCTTAAAAATGGTTTGGATGGCAAATTTTATGTTGTGTGTTTTTTGCAATTAAAAAAAAGGAGGCAGCCTGGGGCCAGGTCCCATAGGGTCCTGTGGGCCAGTGTAAGAGCTTTGGTTTTTCCTCTGCATCAGATGGATGGACTTTGAAAGGTTTTAGGGGAAGAATGTCTAATGTGCATTTTGAAGTGTTGACAAGAGACTGCAGCGGTCAAGGACAGGAGCCAGAGGCCAGCAGGAGGCTTTGGCAATAACCCAGGCGCAGGTGTGGGAGGCTCGGCCAGGTGTTAGCAGTGGAGATGCTGGATCAGGGTGGATTTGGGAGGAAGAGCTCACGGGATCTGCTGATGGGTAGGACGTGGGGTGGGAGAGAAAGGGAGGAGACGTCTCCCAGACTTCTGGCCCCAGCAAAGGGAAGGATGGTATTGCCATGTAATGGGGTTCTGAACATTGCAGGAGGAAGAGATTTAGGGGAGGGAATCAGGAGTTCAATTTCAGATGTTCTGAGTTCAGCTCATTTTACAAATATGCATTCTTGCACACTTACATAGATCACGGAGTGTTCGCTCCAACTCAAATATTCCATAGTACAGGAAGCTACTTAGACGTTATTTCTTTGCCTCTTGAATAGAGCATCTTCATTTTGGAAGAATCAGTAGCCTGAAAATGAATTTTAAAAAAGACTTCTTTAGCAGTCAGTGTTATTTGGAGAAGCAGGGGCGCTCCTGTATCTTACCTGGAGAGGAATAAATACAATCTACAGCTCTCTCGGAGCTTCATCCTTCCAGACTACGAGTTATCAAACACTGAAATATTTAAAGCCTCAAATTAACTTCAAGATAACACTAAAATGCACCAACATCCCTACCCTGATAAGAGGTACAATGAATGATTTTAAATTAATGCCAAATGTGCATGCTCTGAATAGAGTAAGGAAGCCCTGCAATTTGTATGCCTAGCTGAGCCTGCGCTCGTTCCCTCTGCAATCCAGGAGGATCGGTGCTCCTTAAGGCCAGAGGCGGCGCAGCGGTGGGATTGCCGAACGCCGGCGCAGTGAGCAGGCGGCGGCTCCGACCTGCCCAGCCCAGCCCATCTGTGAAGCTGCCGGCTGCCTTTGAAGTCTCTTGTTGAGTAATTCCTAACACTTGTACTCCATGCTGTACACTTCACGGCGCAGCCACATATGTGGTCTGATTCCATTCTCGCAGCCACCCTGGGACGTAGGCAGGGGATGGATTACTAATCACCTTTCTACACGTTAGGAAACTGAGGCACAGAAAGGCTAAGTGGCTTGCCAGAGCTGTGTGCTGTTTTGCCAAGCTGTTACTCCAGTGCTTTGGGAGGCTTTGGAGGTCGGTTTGGCATTATCTTCTATTAATAAAATTAAAATGTATACAACCTTTGACCACGTAATTGCAATTCTTAGTACTTCCCCTATATATATATATTGGCCTGGGATGCTCTTACAGGCGTATTGTCATGAGGAAAAATAAATAAAAATTAAAAGGCAAGTTGCAGACAAATACAATATTTATGTAATAAAGAACCCCATATATTTCTATGTGTGGAGACATATGTCTGTAAAGCTTAGTAAGAAGGTACCCAGCAGTCGCCATGACTACATCTGGGGAGGACAGGAGGAGGAGGAGGGCGTTTTGGGGGAACTTCCCTCTCTGCTGTGATTGTTTCTACTACCAGTAGCCATGGCAGCGGCAGCGGGAGTGGCTTTTGCTCTAGTAGCAGCATAGTGGGGATTCTTGGTTCTTTGATAAGTATTGCAACATAAGACACAAAGAATTTAGAAGAGTTACACTTTTTGCTACTCTAACATTCACTTATGATTAAAAAATGACCTCAAACAAAGTGCAGACCTGGGTTTGGACACCACCCCAAGCATTTTGTAAAGCATTTGAAAATGTGTGCGGTGGAATATTTTGCGGTATTGAGGGAATCCTGGCTTCTGTCTCAGGCAGCTTCAGAGAGGAATAGCGCATTTGGACCCCATCATTGTCTCGGCAGTGGCCGCTTGTGCGTGACACGTTTCTGCTGCTGAGATTCGTGGATTAAAGGGTGGCTGGGTGACGTCATCCGTCATTGCCGCGCTGGCCTGCCAGGAGCATGGGGAAGAATTTTCATAAAGAGTATGTTATTGTGCCAAGAAACCGGCTCTCTTCATCCCTTTCTGTAACCCTAGAGAAGGCTCTGACTGCATCATCCGACAAAAAGACATCCCAGACTTCGTAAGTGAGAAATAAGTGTGTAAATGTTTCCCAGCTGTGAGTTGGCCCACCAGGTGCAGGAGCTGCTAAGCGTTTTAAAGCTCAGTGTGAGTTCATTGCGCCCTATTCTCTTCCCTGTTGCACTTATCTAGAATACAGCTTACTCCTTAATATTTCCTTGGAAAAATAGCTGGACTCCAGCGGAGTGGGCTTGACAAGCGGAAATCAGGATCGCTTGCCAAAGGCTCAGAGGAATGGCTGGTGCAGGACTCTTCCCTTCACTCAGCGAGCCCGGCATGAGCCGGTGCTGGCCTTAGGGGATCGGCAGGTCATTGCTCCGGCATTCTAAGAGCCACAGTCTTTTTCCAGGGTTTTAAACCTGGGACTCATAGGCCTGGCGACCTGGACTTCAAAGGTCTGTGAAACTTCTAAAGCTTCTGCCAGAAGTTCCCGTGTACCTATGAAGGTACGTGGAATACCTTCAACCCCGTCACTCACACAGTCCCTGGGAATTGCCGAGCACCTGTCTCATGCTAGAATTCCAGTCTGGATGTCACTGATGACAATTTGATATCTTTCCATTTTCATGCTCCCTTTAGCATCTTTGGAACGTAGCTGAATGTACCAAAATATTTACATAAAAATTCAACTTTTAGGCTTTTATCTCATTACTCAAATTGTTGCTGATGATTGCTGAGTTTAATGAGCATCTATTCAAGACCCTCATGAGGCACCGTTTCCCTGGCAGTAATTCTGCCTCCCCTTTAGGGTATGTTGAGACCCTCAGCATCTTCAGAGCAAAGTCGCAATAATGTCTCTGGTTATTCGGTAGAGTCTCCTGGGAAAGCCTTTAAACTGCAGCAGGGATGTCTAGGTTCTATCCCCCAGAGACTCGGATTGCAATCATCCCAGAAATGCCCCAGGCATCAGTGTGTTCTAAAAAGATCTCCATGCGATTCTAAAGTGGAGCTGGGAGGGAGAACTCTGAGCTGGGAAAGACCTTGCCAGCCGGCTCAGGCACACCTGGGCTGCTGAGCCCTTCTGAGGCTCATCTGCCCCGGGGGCTGTGAGCAGGGACGATCTCCAGGGACTTGGGGCTGGGGGTTGGCGGCAGGAGAAAGCAGCTTGGCTTTGCATTTGGAGGCAAAGTAGTCTGTCCTGGTAGTGGAGAGCAGAAGCAGATGCCATAGGTAACAATGGATAATGCCATCCAGGTGTGGCCAAAGAGCCTGCCTTCCTGCTACCTGGAGGCCCAAGTGAGACAGACTCACTGGATGGGGAATGGGGTTGGCCAAGATGCTGGGGAGTGAGGTGGGGTGGGTCAGCCAGGGCAGCGCTGGGAGTTGCAGGTGATGGCGAGAGATTGGAGACTGCCAGCCCAGGAACCTATAGATTAGTCCCCAGCTTGGTCATAATAAAAACAAATAATAAGTATACCAAAAAATAGTCATGACACATGAAGCGTTTACATGCAGCCACCGTGCTGAGTGATTTTCATGTATGATTTTACATCAGTATCATAAGCAGTGTGGCTCTTCTTGAACTTTCCTTTTACCTCGAAATCCTCACTGAGTCTGTCGGCACATCCCGCCAGCTCTCCCTTCGTGATACGTTCACCTGGCCGGGCGCGGTGGCTCACGCCTGTAACCCTAGCACTCTGGGAGGCCGAGGCGGGCGGGTTGCTTGAGGTCAGGAGTTCAAAACCAGCCTGAGCAAGAGCGAGATCCTGTCTCTACTATAAATAGAAAGAAATTAATTGGCCAACTGATATATATAGAAAAAATTAGCCGGGCATGGTGGCACATGCCTGTAGTCCCAGCTACTCGGGAGGCTGAGGCAGTAGTAGGATTGCTTGAGCCCAGGAGTTTGAGGTTGCTGTGAGCTAGGCTGACGCCACGGCACTCACTCTAGCCTGGGCAATAAAGCGAGACTCTGTCTCAAAAATAAATAAATAAATAAAATAAAATGATACATTCACCTTTGCACAACTTTGCATTCCCGTTACCATCGGTACTTTGGTCCTTTGCTGAGACACCTGCAATGGCTGCTAGCTGCTTTCTGTACTTTACTCTCTTCCCCTTTCTCATGTTCCCATCCATTCTGCAGCAGCCAGAACTCTTTCTCAAAATACATAAACCCGTAGGTGTCATTCCTTGTTCAATTCCCTGCATCCCCACCCCAGTAGCTTCACAACGCACACAGGGTGATGTGCAGACTCTTTTCTTTGGGTTAGGAGAACCCACAGCGTCGGGCCCTGGCCTTCCTCTGAGAACTCATCTCCCGTACGTCGCTTACATGCCCCGATCACATTTGTCTTCCTTCTGTTCCTGCCGCAGGGCCTTTGCATTTGCCGTTTCTTTTGCACCTCCATTCTTCCCGTTACCCACACTGTCACTTCGCTGTGGTGCCTGTCCAGTGTAAGTGTGACAATGTGTTCCCCAGACACCTTCCTGGATATGCAGCCAACGGCCTTCTTCGTCCCACGATTCACTATATCTTTATTTGCTTTTCATTCATCACTAACTGGCATTAAGATGTGTATTTGTTCACTGTCTGCCCGCCCCCTGGAATGTAAGCTCCGCGGAGGCAAGAACTTTGTCTTAACCCACACACACAGTGTGCCCAGTCCCTAGTAAGCACGCAATGTAAAACACGGAAGAATCCACACAATAGCCCTGTGTAGGACATATTAATGTCCCATCTTATGGCTGCTGGGAATACAAGCTGCCTTGTGATTTGCAGTTGGCCAGATGCCATCATGTGATTTGTCCACTTTTCTTCCTTGCAGTTTCTCGTGATGGACGCAGGGCAGCTGTTACGAATACTCTCTCCATTTTACTGATAAAAATACTAAGTCCAGGGTTACTTCCAAGGCTACACATATTCATTGTACATGATGAAACTAGGACTCGAAGTGCTGTTTTTCTTTTTCACACCATGTTGCTCTCCCAGTTATTGGCTTGTGTTGGTTTGCTCGAGTTTCTCAGTAAAAGAGGTCTTTGGAAAATTCATGCTTATGAGAGTTTGCAAAGGGGATTTTGCTGCCTTTGGTGGGAAGCAGTTGGGATGGCCCCTGAGGCTGTCACTGCTGCTGATGTCAAACAAGGTCATCTCATCAGAGAAGCAGCTGGGAGAGAGAGTGGGAGACTGGGGTGAAGGTCTGGGGGCAGATGGGTGTTGGGGTGCACCGAGGGGCTCCTGGATTCATCATCACAGCCACGCCTACTATTGATGTCAGAGGCTGCCATTGTGCCTGGACAGTTCAGTCGGTGATATCAGTGCTCTGTCACCAGTTAACTCATGGATGAATGGGAGACTGTCAAGTCCATGAATAATGAATAAAAGGGACTAAGCAGTCATCCAAATTAGCTCTTTGAAGGCAGAAATAATTCCGATATCCCATTGTCTGCCTACATCCTCAGCTTCTAGAATAAAGCCCAATATTCTCTCTCCAGGCCAGGAATACTCGGCACGCTCTGGCCTCCTCTGGCACTTGCTGTGTCTCCAGCCTCTTGGGAGACCAGCTGCCCGCGTCTGCCAGAACCCGAGAGGTTTCCTGGGACAGGCCCTTCAGTGCTGAAACTGGGACAGACCTGAGCAAACTGGGGTGGCTGGTCACTCTCGTGGTCACCTTTCTGCCCGGCCTATTGATGTGGACCTTTCCTGATGCCTTGAATAGAAGGATATCTCTTCCACTGCAGGGCATCGGTACGTGACATTTACCCCGGATGGAACGTTCCATTCTCCTCTTCACCCAGCAAACTCGTGCTCGACCTCTAGGCTTCAGTGTCCCTCTCACTTCCTCCCTGTCCTCTTTCCACTGTTCTGTGTTCTCAAATGCTCCCTCCCGGAACTGTGAACACCTGTGTGCCAGGATGCTAAATAAATGGCTGTGTGAACGAATGGGTAAGTAAATAAGTAGAATGACAAACAGTTTTGGGGGGTTAATTGTTCTTACTGAAGTATAACATACAGAAAAGTACATAAAGTGTACAGATCTGTGTATTTTCAGAAGATGATGAACACGCCCAGATTAAGCAGTGGAAGATTACCGGAACCCTGCGAACTCCGTTAGGCCCTGTTTTAGTTATCCATCGCTTCGTAACAAACCGCTTTAAAACTCTGTGGCTTTAAACACACACAGTTTATTTACTCTCGTGATTCTGTGGGTCAGGAATGTGGGCGGGACTCCGTGGAGCCGTCCTTCTGCTCTGTCTGGCATTGTCTGGGTACATGAACCAGCCGCATGCAGTTGGCAGCTGATCCCAGCCGGCAGGAATGTCCAGGAAGGCTTTGCTCGGGTACCTGGCACCTCAGGTTTCCTCCCCTCTTCACCTCATGCGGCCGCACAGTTCAGTGCTCTGGCCTGAGCTGCGTGACAGCACGGGGGCTCTCTTCCCCATACAGTGACAAAGTGAAAGCTTCCAGGCCACTAGGACGCTGGGCTCAGAACTGGCACAGTGTCCCTCTCTGCATCCTATGGGCAGAGCAAGTTACAAAGCCAGCCCAGGGAAAGGAGCGGCACGTGCCTACAGGAAAGGCGAGCAGGATAGTGGCCGTCTTCGGAGCCTGTCCTCTCTACAACCCCCTCCCGTCACTACACAGTCACAAGTGTAGCTGCCCTGACTTCAAATACCATAGATTAAATTTGCCCATTTGGGAAATTTATATAGATACGATCATGCGGTATTTGCTGTATTAGTTATTTGTTGTATATCAAATTATCCTCCCAAACTTGCTGGCTTAGTACAACATGTATCATCTCACGGGTTTTGAGGGTCAGGGATTCAGGAGCAGCCTAGCTGGGTGGTTCCTGCTTAGGGTCTCTTACGAGGTTGCAGTCAAGATGTCAGCCAGACGAGTCATCCGAAGGCTGGCCGGCCGGCCCGGGGCAGCTGCTCCAGGAAGCTTCACTCGCACGGCTGTTGGCTGGAGGCCTCAGCTCCTGGCTACATGGACATCTCCAGGAGGCTGTTCCTAACATGGTAGCTGGCTCAGCCCAGCATGCACAGTCCAAGAGAACAAGGAGAGGGATTTGCAGGGCCTTTAAAAGCATTTGCTTTTGGGGTTTTAATCATGAATTCTTTGCCTAGGCCAACATCCAGAAGAGTGTTTCCTAGGTTTTCTTTTAGAATTTTTATGGTTTCAGGTCTCAAATTTAAGTCTTCAATCCATATTGAGTTTATTTTTGTATATGGTGAAAGATAAGGGGTCCAGTTTCATTCTTCCACATATGGCTATCCAATTTTCTCAGCACTGTTTATTGAATAAGGAGTCCTTTTCTCAATGTGGTTTTCGTCTGCTTTGTCAAAAATTGGTTGGTTGTAGGTATGTAGCTTTATTTCTGGGTTCTCCATTCTGTTCCATTGGTCTATGTGCCTACTTTTATAACAGTATGATGCTATTTTGGTTACTGTAGCCTTATAGTGTAATTTGAAGTCAGGTAATGTGTTACCTCCAGCTTTGTTCTTTTTGCTTACGATTGCTTTGGCTATTCAGGTTCTATTTTAGTTACAAATTAATTTTAGGACCGATCCTCCCTCCCTCCCTCCCTCCCTCCCTCCCTCCCTCCTTCCTTCCTTCCTTCCTTCCTTCCTTCCTTCCTTCCTTCCTTCCTTCCTTCCTTCCTTCCTTCCTTCCTTCCCACACAGTCTTGCTCTGTTACCCTGGGTAGAGTGTGATGGCATCATTGTAGCTCACTGCAATCTCAAACTCCTGGGATCAAGAGATCCTCTTGCCTCAGCCTCCCAAGTAGCTGGGACTACAGGTGTGAACCATGACACCCAGCTAATTAGGATTCATTTTCTAATTCTCTGAAGAATGGTGTTGATATTTTGATACGAATTGGATTGAATCTATAGATTGCTTTCGACAGTATGGTCATTTTAATAATATTGGTTCTTCCATCCATGAGCATGGGATGTTTTTTCATTTGTTTATGTCACTTAGGATTTCTTTCATCAGTTTATTGTACTTTTCCTTGTAGAGAATGTTCACCTCCTTGGTTAAATATAGTCCTAGGTATTTTTTTTTTTTTAGCTATTGTAGCCATACAAATACATGAAAATTTAAAAAACCTGCTTCTGAATGATCTTTGGGTCAATAATAAAGTTAAGATGGAAATAAAAGAAATTTAAAAAACCTGCTTCTGAATGATCTTTGGGTCAATAATAAAGTTAAGATGGAAATAAAAGAAATTTAAAGATGAATGATAATAGTTACACAACTTATCAAAACCTCTGGGGTCCAGAACAAAAACAGTGCTAAGAGAGAAGTTTATAGTGCTACATGCCTAAATAAATAAGACAGATCATAAATTAACAACCTAACATCACACCTGAAGGAATTAGAAAAACAAGAACAAACCAAACCCAAAGCTATCATAAGAAAATAAATAACAGAGATTAGAGCTGAACTAAACAAAATCAAAACCAAAAATAACCCCCCCAAAAACCCAAGGATCAGTGAAATAAAAAGTTGGTTCTTTGAAAAGATAAACAAAATTGATACACTATCAGCTATATTATCAAAAAAAATTGAAGAGAAAGGATTTAAATGAGCTCAATGAAAAAATGAGAAATTTAAGAGTACAACTGATACTACAGAGATACTAAAGATCATCTGAGACTACTATGAGCATCTCTACATCCACCAACTAGAAAATATAAAGGAAATTGAATAATTTCTGGAAACATACAACCACCCAAACTCGAATCAGGAAGAAATAGAAATCCTGAACAGACCAATAGTAAGTAGTGACATTGAATCAGTAATAAAAAAGAAAATCTCTCAACAACAACAACAACAAAAAACTTAGGACTGGATGGATTCACAGCCAAATTCTACCAGATATGCAAAGAACTTGTACTAATCCTACTGAAACCGTTCCAAAAAATCTAGAAGGAGGGACTCCTCCCTCACTCATTCTACAAAGCCAGCATCACCCTGATACCAAAGCTGGGAAAAGACATATCAAAAGAATAGGACTGTAGATCACTATCCCTGATGAACATGCATGCAAAAATCTTCAACAAAATACTAGCAAACTGAATCCAAGAGCACATCAAAAAGATAATACACCATGATCAAGTGAGTTTTATTCCAGGAATGCAAGGATGGTTCAAGATAAGCTAGTCAATAAATGTGATTCACCACATAAACAGAATTAAAAACAAAACCATATGAAGGCTACACCTTCAATAGGTTTCTCCCAGCTAGTGACTGAGGGCCCCAAGGATAGAACGCCAACCCATTCCTGGGAGACACAGGACTGCTGCACCAGCTGACTTAGGCTTTTGGTCTCTCTGATGGCTTTGACTGAACTTCCCTTGACTGCATCACAGCCTGGGACGTCTCCTTCCTTTGCATTCTCCTTCACTGGCCATGGGACTTGCATCCTGGTCTGATGACTCTCCCCTCTCCAGATGAGGCATTTTCCCAATAACATCATTGACGTGAGTCTGAGGGTCTGCTTCTTGGAGGACTTGTATTAATATAGGTTATTTCTGTATTTTATCACCTAGGAGCACTAGTCAGTTACCTAGCCCCTTCGGAAGTGAAGTTGTCTCAGTGACATGTTGAATTCATCATCTATTCTTTCTCTTAAACTTGCTGTCTTCAGGGGAGGGCTGGTAAAATAAGTTCAGCCAGAATGCAACAGGTAACTAAATAGTTGATTTTCATATTTTATTTTAAAAGTTGAGGTGTAGATATAAGATAAATAAGATTTAAAAGAGAGCCAAAAGAGCCAATTTTCTTGTTCCAGAGAAGAAAAAACCTTTTTCTGGGCACTGGCTGGGGAGAGTTGGAGGGAGAACCACAGAGTCAGTGGCTGGTTTGGGGCTGTGAAAAGGGGCTTCTCCTAAGTCCCCCCACCTCCAAGCAAGTGGGTAACTACTGCTGAGACGGAGGGGTGATACAAGCACCAGGCAAGCCTGGGTATCTGGGAGCAGAGGCCCGAGTGTCACTGCCCTGCTGGGCCCAGAGAGCAGCGAAGCCCTCGTCCCCCACCCATGTGTGGTGCAGCAGCAGGAGGGCACGTGGAGTGCAGTGGGGGGTCTACACAGGGCAGATCTATGAGTGTCCCACCGGGGTTTGCGAAGCCCCAGAGCACGGAAAACAATATCCCTAAACCTCCTGAGGCTCTGAAAGATAAAGTG